AACGCAAAAAAAAAAAAAAAAAAAAAGGAAAGAAAAAAGAAAAGGATATGGGAAGATGGCTTGAACCTGAGAAAGCAGGTAAAAAAGGCAGTGTGGTTTCCTAACTGGATAAACAGAGAGCTATGAAACTGGAGGCTTCCTCCTCAAGTGCTGGTAGTATAGAACTAAAAGCCCAAACCCAGAGACGTAAATTTAAAAGAAATTAAGGATGGTGTATGTACCCAAGGATGATGTATAGGCTGAAAATATATAAACAGCTTCCACAATAGTTTAGAAAACAAATTACCACATTTTACTCTGCACACATCTGTGATCATCTGAAATTTTTACTAAAAATATACTCGTATGTTATTTGTATAATTAAAAATAAAATAATAAAATGTAATGGATCCAATGTGCAGCTCCGAGAAGCTACACACTGAATAAAAACACATGCCATATGATCCAGCAATCCGACTCCTGGGCATATATCCAGACAAAACTCTAATATGAAAAGATACACGCACCCCAATGTTCACAGCAGCGCTATTTACAATAGCCAAGACATTGTAGCAACCTAAAAGTCCATCGACAGATGAATGCATAAAGAAGATGTGGAAAGGGTATAGTGAAAAGGGAACCCTCCTGCACTGTTGGTGGGAATGTAAATTGATACAACCACTATGGAAAACAGTATGGAGGTTTCTTAAAAAACTAAAAATAGAACTACCATATGACCCAGCAATCCCAGTCCTGGGCATATACCCTGAGAAAACCATAATTCAAAAAGAGACATGTACCAGGCTTCCCTGGTGGTGCAGTGGTTGAGAGTCCGCCTGCCAATGCATGGGACACGGGTTCGTGCCCCGGTCCGGGAGGATCCGCGGCTGGGCCCGTGAGCCGTGGCTGCTGAGCCTGTGCGTCCGGAGCCTGTGCTCCGCAACGGGAGAGACCGCAACGGTGAGAGACCCGCGTACCGCAAAAAAAAAAAAAAAAAGAGAGACATGTACCACAATGTTCACTGCAGCACTATTTACAATAGCCAGGACGTGGAACCAACTTAAATGTCCATCGACAGATGAATGGATAAAGAAGATGTGGCACATATATACAATGGAATACTACTCAGCCATAAAAAGAAACAAAATTGAGTTATTTGTAGTGAAGTGGATGGACCTAGAGTCTGCCATACAAAGTGAAGTAAGTCAGAAACAGAAAAACAAATACCATATTCTAAGGCATACATATGGAATCTAAAAAAAAAAATGGTACTGATGAACCTAGTTGTAGGGCAGGAATAAAGATGTAGACATAGAGAATGGACTTGAAGACACGGGGTGGGAGGGGGAAGCTGGGGCGAGGTGAGAGTAGCATCAACGTATATACACTATCGAATGTAAAACAGTTAGCGAGTGGGAAGCAGCAGCACAGTACAGGGAGATCAGCTTGGTGTTTTGCGATGACCTAGAGGGGTGGGATAGGGAGGGTGGGACGGAGGGGATATGGGGACATGTGTATGCATATGGCTGATTCACTTTGGTGTACAACAGAAACTAACACATTACTGTAAAGCAATTATACTCCAATAAAGATCTATTAAAAAAAAATCACTTTCCTTTTCCAAAAAAAAAACATGTGATATATATATATATATATAATGGAATAGTACTCAGCCATAAAAAACAACGAAATAATGCCATTTGCAGCAACATGGATGGACCTAGAGATTATCATACTAAGTGAAGCAAGTCAAAAAGAGAAAGACAAATACCATATAATATCACTCATATGTGGAATCTAAAATATGACACAAATGAACTTATCTACGAAACGGAAACAGACTCACAGACGTAGAGAACAGACTTGCAGCTGCCAAGGGAGAAGGAGGGGTGAGGGAGGGATGGATTGGGAGTTTGGAATTAGAAGATGCAAATGGATATAGAATGGATAAACAACAAGGTCCTACTGTATAGCAGAGGGAACTATATTCAATATCCTGTAAGAAACCATAATGGAAAAAAATATGTATATATATGTATAAGTGAATCACTTTGCTGTATACCAGAAACTAACACAACATTGTATATCAACTATACTTTAATAAATTTTAAAAATGAAAAAGAATAAAAATACAAACTTACAAACACATTGCTTAAAAAATAAATAAAACACCTAATGGAAGAGAGAAAGCTATAAAAGATTAATTATAACTTTTATGAGAGATAATCCCTAAGCTTGAGGCCAAGGCCAAAGAAAGCCATAAAATGCTTTCTCAAATTGTCATTGTTGCTTTCATTTTAAAGACACACAGTGGAGCTAATCAATAGAACAATTTATCTCTTATTCAAATAGGCATCCAGTTTGGGGTGGTAATATTCAAACTAGAAGAGGCAGTAGTGAGGGATTCTACCATAGCAGCAACCCCTCTGAAGCACCTTGATGTACTGGGGCCCCATGCACACCATGACATATAGGAAGTTGGTGGTTTCATTTATAAGCAATGACTGCTTTCCAAGTCATCCCGAAAACAGCTGAAGACTAAAGATATAGGAAGATAAATGGAAATTTTAAATTAAACCCCAAAGGACAAGTCCTCCTATCCCACCACCTTTGACTCATTCTTAGACAACCATGCCTCCAACTTCAAAGAGGAAACAGAAATCATCAAAAGGCCCCAGGGGCTTCCCTGGTGGCACAGTGATTGGGAGTCCACCTGCAGACACAGGGAACACGGGTTCGTGCCCCGGTCCGGGAAGATCCCACAAGACGCGGAGCGGCCGGGCCCATGAGCCATGGCCGCTGAGACTGCGCGTCCGGAGCCTGTGCTTCGCAACGGGAGAGACCACAGCAGTGAGAGGCCCGCGTACTGCAAAAAAAAAAAGAAAAGGCCCTCCCTCACCTTCCTCCTATAATACAAACTTACCTGCATCCCCAATTATCTGTTCCTCCCTGCCCTCAAGCACAAGAAAGAGGGGTTCTCTTACCTTCTTTCAGGCTAATCCCCTCATTTGTGCTCTGGATCCTACTTCTTTCTCATCAACTGCAAGGACTTCTCCCTGCCATTTATCTCCTTTCTTTCTTAGACCTCGAACCTATTTATCATTATGTTCCTTCCTTGAGTAGCTGGAGCAACTCTCTCATGACTTCAGTACCATCTATAACAGGATGCCTTCAAGTATCTTCATCTCTGGCCTAGATCTCTCTCCTCAGCTTCAGATGTCTGCTAACCTCTAAATATCTCCACGTCAATGTCCTATAGAAATTCCAACATGTCCAAAACTAAACTCATCATCTTTCTCCTAAAACCAAGACCATCATTCACCCAGTTTCCAAATAAGAAACCTAAGTGTTACTTTTGATTCCCTCTTCTCCCTCAGCTCCCCACGCCCAATCAAGTCCTTTGGATTTTACCTCATTAATATACTTCTGTTCACTTCTCCCCATCTGCAAAGCCATTTCCTGGTTCAGGTCCTTCTCACATCTCACTTGGATTACAGTAGCACGCTCCTACTCTTCTTATTTCTGTCTTACCCTTCTCCAAATTTTCCACAAAGCAGCCAGAGTCGTATTTCTGAAGTGCACATCTGAGATTTCCCTATTTAAAGCACTCAATAGCTCCCTACTACCTTCAGGATAAAGGTCAAATTACTTATTACATGACCCTTCAAGGCCTGGTCCCAGATTACCCCACCACCCACTCCTCTATAAATTTTATTCTCAAGGCACAATGAACCCGCCATTTGCAGTTTTCCAACTACTGTGTCCTCTCCCTAGCTTCAAAAATCCCACACAGAATCCTAAAGCATCATACTGATGACTACAAACCCAAAGCAGCAAAAAACTGTCATCCTATACAAATCCTAACTTAATCTTCATTTAGAAAAATTACTTTTACTAAATTCTACAGTGCCACATAGTGGTGAGAGAGGGAAGCGAATAGCAAAGGTAAAGGAAGTGTAGGCGGAGGACATAAATGAGAACATCAAGGAGCCTGAAGTGATCTGCCTTCTCTGAGATGAATGGGAATGTCTGTGCAGTGCTCCATGGTTGCATGCACCAGAACACTCACGCTTACTCAGCTAGTCTTGCCCATAACATCACCCTCAGGAACTTACATCACTGGGGCTCAGGCTGCCCAGCCCATTCTCCTGCTCAGAATCCTTCCCAGACTCAGTGCCCTGGGAGGACCGAGGATGGGATGGATGAATCCAGATCTCCAGGCGAGTGGTGTCATCTCCAACATGCCGGAAAGTGGATTTCTTTGCTTTCCGCCATTGGTCAGGGCTCAGTTCCAATTCGTCGTGTTGCTTCTTTTCCATCTGTTCTGCCTATACGACATACAAACATAAGCTCAGACTGTCCTGTGATTCAGCCAATCAAGAGAAGTGCTCATCTCACCTGAGTTTGTTGCCCAAGAACTGTAAAAAGTAAAGACTTTGCCATAGTTCCACAGTAGCAGAGTATCATCTGTTTTGTCTCATAAAAGTTATTAATTCTGTAAACCAGATGCTGTGGGCCCTGGAGAGCTCTCCTAAAGATGAGTTTTGCTCTGCATAGAGACTGACTGACTCCCATTAGCACAGCCCGAGAGGACCCCTTCAGGACATTATCAGTCTTTTCCTTAAGGACACAGAGACACTAAGAGAAACACATTCTTCTAGGAAGGAATGATTCTGCCTGCATCCCCACTCACCTTCCGTTTGGTCTCTTCAAACAAGCTCATGAGACTCTCCTTGGCAGTCAGGATAGGGTTGCTGGCAGCCAGACTGCGCATATAGTAATAGACGGCATCAAGCTTCCTCCTCTGCAGAAAGAGGTCAGAGACACTGAGTCAACCAGTTCTCTTCTGGACTCCAGCCTGAGTCAGCAGACCAAGGAAACCCTACCATCCCTCCCAACCTGTGCTCCAAGCTGTGAGGAGTTCCAACATGAAAATGAAACAACTATCCACGGAAGAAGCCATGGCGAGTACATCAGAGTTCTCTTCTTGCCCAGTACTATGTCTTACATGTAGAGGTACTCTTAAAGCCACATGCTCAAAAGCAGGAGAAACGAATAAAGAGCCTCACAAAATACGAAACCAATTATGATTTCTTTTTAGAGAAAGAAAATGTTCAGCATGTACTAATTATTGTTTTTAAAACATTATAAATAACAATAGCAATATCACTGATTAAGCATAGCTAAGTGTGAGGTAAATGATCAACACTTTATAGATATTATGATATTATTTCCAAACCTAAGGAAACTGCCCCACAGGGATTACTATTCCCATTTTAATAATGAAGAGAGGGCTTCCCTGGTGGTGCAGTGGTTGAGAATCCGTCTGCCAATGCAGGGGACACAGGTTTGAGCCCTAGTCTGGGAGGATCCCACATGCCACGGAGCAACTGGGCCCGTGAGCCACAACTACTGAGCCTGCGCGTCTGGAGCCTGTGCTCCGCAACAGGAGAGGCCGCGACAGTGAGAGGCCTGCGCACCGCTATGAAGAGTGGCCCCTGCTAGCTGCAACTAGAGAAAGATTTCACACAGAAACGAAGACCCAACACGGCCAAAAATAAATAAATAAATAAATAAAAATTAAAAAAATAATAATAATAATAATGAAGAGATAGGGGCTCAGGAAGATTATTACGTAACTTGCCCAACAAGGTCTCAAAGCCAAATCCCAGATAAGCTAGTATTTGAACCTAGGTCTGCCTGGCTCCTAAGTTTATGTTTTCACTACAACATACTGACTCCACGAAGAAAAGGAAACAAACTATTATCCAATGCATGCAGCAAAGAAATACTTCAAGTCCATTTTAAAACGAATTAATAAGTAAAAGAAAGGGAGAGGGTCAGAAAGAAGGAAAAACACTGAAATAAAGGGCCTTTCTATCTTTCTATCATATACATTGTTACCTTTTCTGTCTCAAAATGCACCTAGACTACTACTTTCCTCTCTCCCCAGCACCTACTCACTCTTTAAAAGTCCCGTCTTGCACTCATCTAGCATGGTTAAAGGTGTACATTCTAAGCTCAACTGCCTGAGTCTGAATTTGGCCCTGCCATTTATTAGGTATAACCCTAAGAAAGTCAACCTAGAAAGGTTTCCTTATTTGTAAAATGAATATATTCACCAACATATATGGCCCCTGAAAAGATTAAAATTCATATAATATATACAGTTTAACAGAATATCTGGTACCCAGTTTCAGTTAAGTGGGAGCTATCTTTAATGTTATTCCAATTATGCCACTCATTTGATTTTACAGTATTTTATCAGTTCTACAATGATTTTTTTCTTTTTCTTTTTTTTTTTTTTGCGGTACACGGGCCTCTCACTGCTGCGGCCTCTCCCACCGCAGAGCACAGGCTCCGGACACACAGGCTCAGCGGCCATGGCTCACGGGCCCAGCCGCTCCACGGCACGCGGGATCCTCCCGGACCGGGGCACGAACCCGTGTCCCCTGCATCAGCAGGCAGACTCCCAACCACTGCGCCACCAGGGAAGACCTTTTTCATATTTTAACATCTCTGAAATCAATATACAACTCAATCACTACCTATCATCATGTCTTATTTTAATTCACATTCTTCTTTCTTACTGGTAGAGGAAATGATGTATCTAACAATCAATTGCATCATATTGCATCAAGTCTAATTTGTATCATTGTCTATACACCTCACATGTCTTCTCAACAATGTTTTCTTTCAGGACAGAAACCATATCAAATATTTACCACTCACAGCACCTAGCAAAGCACTGTGCACAGCATGTTCTCAGTAAATACTAGAGATCCACTGAATGAAAGGTTACAGAAAAGCTGAGAAAGTGATCTTAAAAGACAACTGGGGGCACTTTTCTGGTGGTCCAGTGGCTAAGACTCTGCACTTCCAATGCAAGGGGCATGGGTTCAATCCCTGGTCAGGGAACTAAGATCTCACATGCCGCCTGACATGGCCAAAATAACAGACAACTGGGTTAACACAGAGACAGAAAAGGAGGGACAGAGGAAAAGAACTTGAAAAGAGTACTAACTTAGGTAAGAGGTCCATGAAAGAAACACATACCAATTTAATTAGTGTAGCAACAGACCACTGAGGGAAGACACAAGATTAACACTCAAGGGACTTCCCTGGTGGTCCAGCGGTTAAGACTCGCACTCCCAATGCAGGAGGCCTGGGTTCAATCCCTGGTCAGGGAACTAGATCCCACATGCTGTAACTAAGATCCCACATGCCGCAACTAAGACCCAGCACAGCCAAATAAATACATATTAAAAAAAAAAAAAAAAAGATTAACACTCAAAAATCAGTTGTATTTCTACACATTAGTAGTGAACAATCTGAAAAATTAGGAAAATAATTCCATTCATAATAGCATCCAAAATAATAACATACCTTTATATGTTGGGAGTATTTATATCTTAGGAATAAATTTAACCTAGGAAATGCAAAACTTATACACTGAAAACGACCACACATTTCTGAAAGAAATTAGAGAAGACCTAAATAAATGGAAAACATCCTGTGTTTGTGCAGAAGACAATACTGTAAAGATGTAAATACTCCCCAAAGCAATCCACAGATTCAGTGCAATCCTTATCAAAATCACAATGACTGTTTTGGCAGAAATGAAAAAGCCGATCCTAAAATCCATATGGAATTCCAAGGAACCCCAGATAGCCGACACAATCTTCAAAAAGAAAAACAAAATTGGAAGACTCACATACCCAATCTCAAAACTTACCACAAAGCTACAGTAATTAAAACAACGTAGTACTGGCACAAAGGTAGACATATGGATCAATGCGAGAGAATCTGGAGTCCAGAGATAAACCTATCATACATCAACTGACTTTCGACAAGGGTGCCAAGACTATTTAATGGGGAAAGAACAGTCTCTTCAACAAATGGTGCTAGGAGAATTGGATGTCCACATGCAAAAGAATGAACTGGACCCTTACTTCATACCATATACAAAAATTAACCAAAAATGGATCAAAGACCTAAATATAAGAACTAAAACTATAAAAAATGTATCCCTGTATTTTCTTCTAAATAAATAAATAATAAATCTTAACTTTTAATTTGGTTAAGAGTTTCTTAGCTATGACATCAAAGCACAAGCAACAAAAGAAAAAATAGATGAATTGGACTTCATCAAAATTAAAAACTTTTGTGGGGAACTCCCTGATGGTGCAGTGGTTAAGACTCCAAGCTCCTAATGCAGGGGACCCCAGTTTGATCCCTGGTCAGAGAACTAGATGCCATATGCCACAACTAAGAGTTTGCATGCCACAACTAAGGAGCCCGCCTGCCACAACTAAGGAGCCCACCTGCCGCAACTAAGACCCAGCATAACCAAATAAATACATAAATCTTAAAAAAAAAAAAACTTTTGTGCATCAAAGGGCACTATCAAGAGAGTGAAAAGACAACCCATAAAATGGGAGAAAATATTTGTAAATCAAATATCTGATAAACGTCAGAATATATAAAGAACTCCTACATCTCAACAACAAAAAAGACAACCCAACTTAAAAATATGCAAAGGATCTGAATAGACATTTCTCCAAAGAAGATATGCAGATGGCCAACAAGAACATTAAAAAATCAGTACTCACTAGGGAAATGCAAGTCAAAACCACAATGCCATACAACTTTGAAGCAGTTAGGCTGGCTACTATTTAAATACACACACAACAACAACAACAACAGAAAATAGTGTGTGTTAGGAAGGATGTGGAGAAACTGGAACCCCTGTGCACTACTGGTGGGAATGTAAAATGGTGCAGCTGCCAATATGGTGGTTCTTCCAAAAACTGAAAATACAATTACCACATGACCCAGCAATTCCACTTCTGAGTATATATTCAAAAGAATTGAAAGAAGAGTCATGAAGAGGTATCTGCACACTCATATTCATAGTAGTATTATCCACAATGGCCAAAAGGTAGAAGTGTCCATCGAGAGATGAACAGATAAACAAAATGTGGTATATACATACAATTGAATATTATTCAGCCTTAAGGAGGAAACTGACATGAGCTGTAACATGGATGAACCTTAAGGATATAATGCTAAGTGAAATAAGCCAGTCACAAAAAGACAAATAGTTTTAGATTCTATTTATATTAGGTAACTAGAGTAGACAAATTCACAGAGGTGGAAAGGTGAAGAAGGGTGGTTGCCAATGGCTACAGGAAGGGAAAAATAGGGAGGTGTTGATTTAATGGGTAGAGAGTTTCCGTTTTGCAAGATGAATAGAGCTCTGGAGAGTGATTGCACAACAATGTGAATGTACTCAACACTACTGAACTGTACACTTAAAAATGCGTAAGATGGGGCCTTCCTTGGTGGCGCAGTGGTTGAGAGTCCGCCTGCCGATGCAGGGGGCATGGGTTCGTGCCCCGGTCCGGGAAGATCCCACGTGCCACGGAGCGGCTGGGCCTGTGAGCCGTGGCTGCTGAGCCTGCGCATCCGGAGCCTGTGCTCCACAATGCGAGAGGCCACAACAGT